TCATCAAGCTGCTCCCAAGACAGCTTAGTAGGGTTGAGATCTGACTCTTTAATAGTGAAACGTCCAGCTAACGTTTTTGGTATTTTAATTACACATATGTTTTTGGCTAATGATTCTGTTTTAGAATGAGACTGGCTCTCGTCATATGCTCTCAGGTGTGGCGTGGTGTACCAACTTCTTGTAATTACTTTCCCTTTTACCCTTTACACTTATGAAAGGATTTACTTGGATATGCAGCCATACTAGGACATTTATGCCGTTGACTGAAAGACACTGATAATAGGTCATTGTGCAAAAAATGGATCTTTCCTCTAAAATCCAATTAATTTTGTTAATTGCACGAAAGCACCTTATTTTACACATTTCCAAGTGATTCAGACTTTTCATTGATAGATTATTAATTCATCTGATCACCAAAACTCACTGACATTGCATAAATCAGAGATAAAAACAAAAAAGGAAATTAATTCTGAAGGAGTCTCATCATGTGAGAGTTGAATTTCTTGAGCTTCATAAAAAAAAATCTGTTTTTCCCCAAACCTAATCCCCAAACAGCAGTGAAGCACGGTGGTGGTGTCATCATGCTGGTGTTTGTTTATTGGCAGGGCTGGGAAACTAAGAATAAGAATGAACAGGATGGTGAAAAGTCTAAAGTACAGACAAATTCTTGAGGGAAAACTGTTTCCGTCATAAAGATTTGAGAATGAGACTTACAGTTCTTACATTTTTTTGGCTCTTTTTAATATTTATTGTGTGTTTTGATTGCTGTTTTTATCTGCTTTTACTGCCTGTTTTATTTGTATTTTTTATTCTGAGTCCTATGTTGGGAGGCGCTTTGGTCAGCTCCCATGCTGTTTTTAAATGTGCCGTATAAATAAACTGGTATAGTAGTTCAGACAAACAAATACTCTTAGTAAAAGCAACCCTCGAGTGGTTTAAGAGGAAACTTTGAGACATTGGTAGAAAAAAAAGATCACAGTAGTTAGATTTTATATCATATTTTTGGAAATCTAGAAGTAGTTTTGATATTTTAAAAATAAACGTGTTGATACAAACTATTTTTTTAAGCCGTGAAGCTAAATAAAAACATTTTTTGACTGCTGGGGAGTGTGTGTGTGTGTGTGTGTGTGTGTGTGTGTGTGTGTGTGTGTGTGTGTGTGTGTGTGTGTGTGTGTGTGTGTCACCTGCTGTGTTTGCTTTGATCAGGGCATTGTTTTGTTTTGTTTTTGGTGAAATTACATATGAAAGTAAAAAATGAGAATATGGCACAAAAGTTCATGTATTTCAGTAATTCAAAGGTAAAACAAATCTATGAGACTGATTATTACATGCAAAGCCAGATATTTCCAGCCTTTTCCTCACATTTTTCATCCCTGACCTGCTTTTATGTCTGATTGCTTTGGTGTTAAGACCAGTTGTTTGGTTAGCGATGTCTGGGTTCAAATATAAGCAGGCGCTTGCTTAACTAGCGTCAAGGTGGGCTATAGCTACCTGGCAGCTGGCTTCTCACCATGTTGCCACCATCCTGCGCCAGATGGCAGGCCGCTTTCAAATTTTCTTAAGAAATTTTCTAGTTTATTTTTGCACTGTGGTTAGTTATTCTTCTTCGTCGTCTTCCTCCGCTTATCCGGGTCTGGGTCGTGGGGGCAGCATCCCAACTAGGGAGCTCCAGATCGTCCTCTCCCCAGCCACCTCCACCAGTTCCTCCGGCAGGACCCCAAGGCGTTCCCGTACCAGACTGGAGATGTAACCTATCCAATGTGTCCTGGGTCGACCCGGGGGCCTCCTGCCGGCAGGACATGCCCGAAACACCTCCCCAAGGAGGCGTCCATTAGGCATCCTGACCAGATGCCCAAACCACCTCAACTGACTCCTTTCGATCCGGAGGAGCAGCGGTTCCACTCCGAGTCCCTCCCGAATGTCCAAGCTCCTCACCCCATCTCTAAGGCTGAGCCCGGCCAACCTACGGGGGAAACTCATTTCAGCCGCTTGTATCCGCAATCTCGTTCTTTCGGTCATTACCCAAAGCTCATGACCATAGGTGAGGATTGGGACGTAGATCGACCGGTAAATCGAGAGCCTGGCTTTCTGGCTCAGCTCCCTCTTCACCCCGACAGATTGGCCCAGTGTCCGCATCACTGCAGACACCGAACCAATCCGCCTGTTGATCTCCCGATCCCTCTTACCCTCACTCGTGAACAAGACCCCGAGATACTTAAACTCCTCCACTCTAGGTAGGACCTCTCCCCCGACCCGGAGGTGGCAAGCCACCCTTTCCCGGTCGAGAACCATGGTCTCAGATTTGGAGGTGCTGATCCCCATCCCAGCTGCTTCACACTCGGCCGCGAATCTACCCAGCAAGAGCTGAAGGTCAGAGCTGGATGAAGCTAGGAGGACCACATCATCTGCAAAAAGCAGAGACGAGATTCTCCTGCCACCAAACTCAACACACTCCACACCACGGCTGCACCTAGAAATTCTGTCCATAAAGGTTATGAACAGAACCGGTGACAAAGGGCAGCCCTGGTGGAGTCCAACCCTCACTGGGAACAGGTCCGACTTACTACCGGCTATGCGGACCAAACTCACGCTCCTCTGGTAAAGGGACTGAATGGCCCTTAACAGAAAGCCACCCACCCCATACTCCTGGTGCGTCCCCCACAGGGTGCCTCTGGGGACACGGTCATAGGCCTTCTCCAAATCCACAAAACACATGTGGATTTGTTGGGCAAACTCCCATGCCCCCTCCATCACCCTTGCAAGGGTATAGAGCTGGTCCACAGTTCCACGGCCAGGACGAAAACCACATTGCTCTTCCTCAATCTGAGATTCAACTATCGATCTGACCCTCCTCTCCATTACCATGGAGTAGACCTTTCCAGGGAGGCTGAGGAGTGTGATCCCCCTATAGTTGGAACACACTCTCAGGTCACCCTTCTTAAAGATGGGGACCACCACCCCGGTTTGCCACTCCACAGGAACTGCCCCCGATGACCATGCAATGTTGCAGAGACGTGTCAACCATGACAGCCCTACAACATCCATAGCCTTGAGATACCCAGGACGAATCTCATCCACCCCCGGGGCTCTGCCGCTGTGTAGTTGTTTGACTACCTCAGCAACTTCTGCCCCCGAGATTGGACAGTCCGTCCCCAGGTCTCCCGGCTCTGGCTTTTCCTTGTAATGCAGGTGGGATTGAGGAGCTCCTCAAAGTATTCCTTCCACCGCCCGACTATAGCCCCAGTTGACGTCAGTAGCTCCCCATTCCCACTGTAAACAGAGTGAGCGAGTTGCTGCCTCCCTCTCCTGAGGCGCCGGACAGTTTGCCAGAACCTCTTTGGCACTGATCAATAGTCTTTCTCCATGGCCTCACCAAACTCCTCCCACGCCCGAGATTTTGCCTCGGCAACTGCCACTGCTGCACCCCGCTTGGCTATCCGGTACCCGTCTGCTGCCTCTGGAGACCCACAGACCAGCCACGCCCTGCAGGCCTCCTTCTTCAGCCTAACGGCTCCCTGAACCTCTGGTGTCAACCAGCGGGTACAGGGGTTGCCCCCACGACTGGCACCGGCCACCTTGCAACCACAGATAGCAACAGCTGCCTCAACAATCACAGAGTGGAACAAGGCCCACTCGGAATCAATGTCCCCCACTGCTCTCTGGACGCGGTCAAAGCTCTGCTGGAGGTGGGAGTTGAAGACCGTCTTGACATGTTCTTCTGCCAAGCATTCCCAGCAGACCCTCACTATACATTTGGGTCTGCCAGGTCTACGTGGCATCTTCCCCTGCCATCTGATCCAACTCACCACCAGGTGGTGATCAGTTGACAGCTCCGCTCCGCTCCTCTCTTCACTCGGGTGTCCAAAACATACGGCCGCAGGTCAGATGATACGACTACATAGTTTATCATCAACCTGCGATCTAGGCTGCCCTGGTACCAAGTGTACTGATGGGCATCCTTATGTTCGAACATGGTGTTCGTTATTGCCAAACTGCGGCTTGCACAGAAGTCCAATAATGAAACACCACTCGAGTTCAGACCAGGGGGGCCATTCCTCCCAACCACAACCCTCCAGGTCATGCTGTCATTGCCCACGTGAGCAATGAAGACCCCCAGCAGGACAATGGAGTCCCCTGATGGAGCACTATCTAGCACTTGTTCTAGGGACTCCAAAAAGGGTGGGTAATCTGAACTGAAATTTGGCCCATAACCACAAACAACAGTCAGGACCCGTTCCCGGACCCGAAGGCGCAGGGAAGCTACCCTCTTGTCCCCCAGGGTAAACCCCAACACGCATGCAGAGAGTCTTGGGGCTAACAAAAAGCCAACTCCAGCCCTCCGCCTCTCACCCGGAGCAACTCCAGCAAAGGAGAGTGTCCAACCCCTCTCAAGGACTTGGGTTCCAGAGCCAATGCTATGAGTTGAGGTGAGTCCGACTACATGTAGCCGGTATCGCTCAACCTCTGCCACAAGCTCCTGCTCCTTCCCCGCCAGTGAGGTGACGTTCCATGTCCCAATAACCAGTTTCTTTGTCCGGGGATCGGACCGCCAAGGCTCCTGCATCGGTCTGCCACCCGATCCACACTGCACCGGACCCTTCATGTTCCTCCTGCGGGTGGTGGGTCCACAGTTGGATGAGCCCATATATCCGGTTCGGGCTGGGCCCGGCCAGTCCCCTTGGGCGAAAGCTCGGCCACCAGGCGCTCGCTCACAGGTCCAAACCCCAGGCCTGGTTCCAGGGTGGGACCCCGGTAACCCTCCAGGCCGGGTACTCCGACTCTTTGTTCTTACATCCATGAAAGATCCTCTGAACCATTCTTTGTCTCACACTTCACCTAAGACCCATTTGTCATGGGAGACCCTACCAGGGACACAAAGTGCCCCAGACAACATAGCTCCTAGGATAATTAGGTCACTCAAACTCCTCTGCCATGATAAGGTGACGGTTCAAGGAGGACGGTTAGTTATTCTGTGTCAGGTAAACCCAGGATGCACAAACTTTCCATATAAAGAGAGATCTTTAATAGACAATAGTTCCATTTGCAAAAACATTGGAAGACTCTGTATATGTACACTCTGTTCACAACTTTTCAGCAAAATCCTCAGTGACATCAGCACAAATGACCAACAAAAAATATATAGAAAAGAAAAAAAGCGTCATTTTCCAATAATGAACAAAGCCTTCAAATTTGTAGTCTTAAAATTAGACACATTTGCCTTTTACAATAAATACAAAGAGTCAAGCATGTATTTCCATGAGTGTACACAAGAATAAAAGGATAAATCCACAACAGTGATATTGTCTACATTTGTGCGTGTTGACGCAACGTTTCTAGGTAGGCTGAACTTCAAATGAAACTATTCCCAGTAGTGCAATAAAGAAACTACCACTGTAGTTCCTCAGAGCTGAGACCTGTTATTAAATCAATTTGGTACTTTTAATCAATATGTGCAAAAATACTGATGCAAAAAACAAACAAAATCTGATTATTCTGGACTTAAAAGACAATATGAAATAGGATACTTTAATTCTGAAGGAAATTTTTCAGAGATGCGAGGCTACACTGAGAACAAAATGCAAAATTTAAGTTCTACAGTTAAAAATAACATTAAAATTAAAAATTGTGCTTTAGAAGGAGGAAATAAAGTTAAAAGATAGAAAAATATCACTTTTATTTTGCTTCTGCTGACCTTCAGTTTACAATTGTTACAATCCGACTGGTGCAGGAACTATTCAGTTTATCCTGTTGATTTAAATAATAGTTATGACAAGTTAAAAAAATGTCTAAATCTTTCTAAAATCTGACTTTAAGTAAAAGTGGACTCATGGACTCAGATTTATGACTGAGGTTAGTTTACTTACTTTTTGAACCCACATCTCTTCCCTTGTAACAACGTTGTTATGAGTTAATAAACACATTTTAAATGGGACCTACCAATTAAATGTTTAAATTAGACTCTGAAGACACTTTTGCAAATGTTTTTGCATCAAATCCTCTAAATGTTGTGTAGTGATATATGTCGTATTTATAAACAGCCATGTGAAAAGAAAAATGTGTGTCCGAACATAAACACAAAACATACTGAAAAACAGACGACGTGGTTTTAATTCTCTCTTAGTTCTGGATGAAAGGTGTACTTCAACACATCAACAGTAAAAACTCAGATAATGTATCATCTTGCTACTTTGGTGTTTAAACTGCACATAAGTTTTATGTCTGTGCAAACTGAATGATTTGAGTCCATAATGCATAGAAAGTTTTTTTTTTTTTCCATTTCCATTCACACATTACCAGATGCTGTGACATAAAAAGAGTAATTACAACTCTGGTATCTAAAAAATCGACATGCATAACTACAAATAAAAACAGAATGCAATGATGAACATTAAAGCTGCTACAGCAAATGTGGAAAACAAATTAGCTTCAATTTTTTTATGCCTCTTAACAACGTTCCAACATAGTATAGCTATATTTAGCTATACATATATTTTGGAGATTTAAAAAAATGAAAAATAAACAAATGTATTGGCTCTCTCGCATTTAACTAAAAAACCGCGCCAATAACACATTTCAGACCAAAAGCAACTACTGACCCATCCAGTCGTCTGTCTCCTGAGACACCTCACTTCCCTGGGTCTTCCACTCATTACACACTCACGCATTTAGCAACAGAATGCCACTGTCAATAAAAGAGAAGGAGAAACAGCCGGCTGCTACCACTTCAGCTTTAGGACAAACTACCAGAGTCCCAAAAAGAAAATCACCGTTTGAAGTCACGGACAACAAAAGACGTTTGGACGTAGAAAACAGTGACTGGTGTTAGCACTGTTTCGTTTTGTCGTGGGCTTCTGGTTCTGGTGGACGCGTCTTAGGGAAGATACCCGAGAGGAGGGGTCAGTGTTCCGTCATCGTGTTTGCTTTCAAAACCTAGCCTGTTCTGTACATTTGCTATAGGAGCTTTAACCAAAACCTTAGAATTAGTTTAATCTAGTGACCTCTTATGCAAAGATAATGTGAAGTTTCGTACCATTTTCAATTATGAATGAAGTTTTGTTTACTGTTCTGTTTTTGTACTCTTATTTTAAAGGCAGAATGTTTTCTCAGTTGCTGTTTGATGATAAGATGACAGGTCTGTCCTAAAACATGCAGAATTATCAAGCAAGGCTTTCTCTGAAGAAGAGATCATCTTGATGGCAGAATGTGATGCTCTGATGCCTGTTTGTATCATTCAGCTTTAAATGGATCTTTACAGATGTGCAGTTTTCCAGCAACTCTGGTCCTTAAAATGAGTTTGGGCTAAAACAATGTGGCAGTGTTTCAGAAACTCATATTTTAGGCTCAGAGGTTCTAACGCAACAGCTTCACAGCTTTGCTGCCTTTTGTTGCTTTGTTTTCTCGTCATCATTTTCCAGTAAAATTTAAGATCCAATTGCATTGTACATCATTGCATTTTATATTTTACATTTTATGCAGCATCAAATGTTTTAGTCATTTGCACAAAAAGAAGTAAACGGAACAGATATGAAACACGCCAGCCTTTGAGTACATCTCTGCCTCCTATACGCATGTTTTCCTAATCATCTACCTAAACTGAATGAAGTTAACAGTGGAGTCTTCTGTGCTCAAAAAATCTTTTTATAGCTATTTTACCTCGACAGCCTGATGTGCACATACATGCAAAACCAAAAAAAAAGACTTTTGTCACATTGTCTATAAATGCAAAAGTGCTTGGAATCAATAAAATGTGTACCTCAAAAACAAGGGATCGATAAAATAAACTAAAAGTAACCTTTTTTTCTGATTGTCAACACTGACGCTTAAACCTGAGCCTTGTGAGAAACATCTTCATTAAATATAAAAAAACTTCTCTTGTGATGCTGGTACGTGTTCACGAAAAGGTGAAGCAATCGATTTTAATACACAACTTTGTTTGTATGAACAGGGGCGTGTCCAGGGAGTGGCCCGGGGTAGCACATGCCACCCTTGGAATCTGCTTGGCCACCCCTAGGTGCCACCACACTAATTTACCTTTAAATAGGCTTTTCATTGTCCACAAAAGGCTTGGGGGTAAAACAAAAAAAAAAAGCATAATCATTGGTGCCACCCATGCACAAAGTTGTGCCTCACCTGGGCCACCCCATTTTAAAAGATCTGGACACGCCCCTGTGTGTGTGTGTGTGTGTGTGTGTGTGTGTGTGTGTGTGTGTGTGTGTGTGTGTGTGTGTGTGTGTGTGTGTGTGTGTGTGTGTGTGTGTGTGTGTGTGTGTGTGTGTGTGTGTGTGTGTGAGAGAGAGAGAGAGAGAGAGAGAGAGAGAGCAGGTAGGTAAGTGCTGCTTCATAGTGCACCAAACATTTTTACTGCATATAAATGTAAGGACTGGGTTTGTGGTGGCCTGTGCTCATCCCACACGGCATAACGTTCCTGGAGCCCACCAGCATGGACCGGTTTAGGTCGTGACCATTCCCAGACCAGGGAGGGGAGTCCATGGGCTCCCGCTTGATTGAATGGATCAGACCCTGACCTTTGAACTCATAAGTGCCATGCTTGTTGTAGTCCAGGTGCATGTAGGCCTTGTGAGAGTATACGTTTGAGTCCATGAGGTTGGTAGATTGATTGTTGCATAGAGAGTCTGAGTGGGAGAGTTTCTGAGGACTGTACTGGCTGGAGTCACTGTTGTTGCCCATGTCTTTATCGCCTTTTAGCAGGCGCGCGGCGTTGCCTACGTTGTTGTTGATTGCATAGTTTGGATAGGTGCCACTGTTGTATGGGGGGCTAATTCCTGCTTTACCTCGCTGACAAGGTGAGTACTGAGCATCATAATAATTGGTCTCTGATTTCAGTTGCAAGCCAGAGCTTGGATCATACATCCCGTTACCATAGTGACGGTCGATGGAAACTTGGTCACGACAAGCCCAAGTTTGCCCGTATGCGTCACACCCGTTGTCAGAGTCCGAGTCATGCTCCACCTTGATGGGTTGCACATCTGGCATCAAATGGGCATTGTAGCACTCTCCATAGTCGTTCTCACTCTTCACCAGGTCCACACAGTAAGCATCAGGGTCTGCTGGAATCTGGACGTTCCCATAGAGCTTGGAAACAAACACCTCATCCCCTCGTCCACCGTGACAGCTCGGAGAACGGCGATAAGTCTTCTCGTACTGGCCAGTTCTATTCAGGCGATTCGAGGTGTGGTATCCAACTCCCTGGGCTGCTCTGATGGGACCTGAGTGCTGCCTCATGTGCCACCCACCACCCATGCCACCCCCTACACCTTTATGGACAGCCATGGAGGACTTGCAGTAATTGAGGGGCTCCTCCTGGTTGTAGTAGCCATCAGAGTGGTACTTGAGGTTTTCTTTGCAGATTGGGGTCCAGGGAGTGTGGTGACCTCGCTGCGAAGCTCCTGGATGGGAAAACAGGATGGGGTCTGTGATGTCCCCCATCCCACCATTGACGGAGTGCCTTCTCAGGTGTTCCCCATGCTCACTGCGAGGGAGAACAAAGAAACTAATGTAATGCCCAATAAATGCAGACAACTCAATAAAAACACTATCTTTTCCTGATTCTTGACAATTATCTAAATTAAAAATATACTGTCCACCTCAGACATGGGCTTTTCCTCAACTTCATTTCTCTGCTGAATGGGATGTGATTTTCCTAAAGTGTTTGTTGTTCTGCCAATCTGTCAACATGATCATAACCTGTGTGCAACGTTTGATAGCACATCATTTTGAATAGCAGGGCTCACACTGCACTTGTTGGACTTCCTGCTTCTGCAACTGAGGAAACTGTTTTATCCACACAGCAGATGGATGGCCTCGCTGGAGTAAATTTGACTGGCCGACCATACATCCATGTGGGAACATCCACATGTTTTTCTTTATTTCTGAGAGACAAATGACTCAAAGCATAAATATTTTGGTTTAGTTCATTTTAGTACACAAAGGAATCATTCCAGCAGTGACTCATCTTTTCTGGGATGAATCCCGTCCGAAAACTGAGAACAGACTTTACATCCAGAGCCCAAAGATCGATGATGGTTCACACAGTGAGTCTGTCAGCAGTATAACCTGTTCAGCAACAGCCCCCTACCCCTTTCATGAATGAGTTGGTAAGAAAAAGGGAAAGTTTTTAAGCATTAAAGCTAGTAAATGTGAATTATAATGAGATCTAAAAAGCCCAAATATAGGAGTTTAGTACCTCCCAAATGAAAACTACATTATTTTTAAAGAGAAAATTACCAGATGCTTTATATCCTGCATGCAACCCTTTTGCAAAAAAATAAGTCATCTTCTTACCCATGCTCCATTGCAGACATAATCCCTCCTCCCTTGTTCTTTCCCCGCATTAAGATATTTTTCACTTTCATCTCAGCGATGGAGGGCAGTAAGAGAGGCACAGCTATGCAGAAAAGAGCCAGTTGGGGAGGCGTCGATGTACCAGAGGGGGACTTCTTCTTTTGCCCATGGAGGAACTTTAACCGACCTTGGAACTGCATAGTCTGGGATAAAAAAACAATATGTCTTCACTGGATTTGAAAATATTTAAATATCCAGATTTCATTAATATTTTTATGTTATTATTTTAATTCTTGCCATAGTTTATTTAAAACATAGCATGGTACTTTATTAGTAGGTACCAAACTTCAACTTTTCACATTTACTAAAATGAACTACAAACACATTCTACTAACAGTCTTATCACAGACGTAAGGTTTATTTATTTATTTATTTGGCTCAATTTTGTTTTCCCAAGAGGTTCATGGGTATGCTAGCCTGGCCTGCCAGACTCCTCCTCTGTTTAATTCTGCACAGAGAAAGGGTCTGGGAACTCTCCTATTCATATAACCCCACCCCCTGAGAATTCTAACCGAGCCGATCAGCGCTGAGTAGCGTACGTCTGTCACGCTGAGAGCAGGAGGTTTGGACCCAAAATGCAGAAACCCAGACAACTCAGGCAGGAGCGGTTGAATAAATGTAAAGTCCTTTTATTAGGGTGATGAGTAAATATCCAAAGGGACTGGAAGCCAAACCTAAAATCTGAAATACAAAAACAAAGCTCATTTATGAGCAAGAACCTGGAGTTTCTAGAGGAGGACAGAACAACACTGACAAAGACAATGGACCAACAAACACTGAGAGACAAGACAGGGTTTTATACACAGGTGATTAAGGGAATTGGGCACAGGTGAGACTGATAACTGAGAGGAGGAGCAGAACAGGGCAGGTGAGGAAACCAGACCTAAAATCTGTAAGACAAAGCTACTGAGCGTAAATAAACCTAAACAGTGTAGAAATAAGACTAAAGATAAATGAACAAATGACCTCAGAGTGACAGAACTAATTATACTGAAAGGCAGGAGAGGATCATACTTAAATGGGGAAGGAACACAATACACTAAAGGGAGATATGAACTAGATAATCTAAAATAACAGAAAAATAATGACAAGTGAAGTGACTAGAGGGAAACCTGGAGGAGCTGGGGACCAAAAGGGGCACAGAACATTAGAGGACACATGAGGGAACCTGGAGGAGCTGGGGACCACAGGGACACAGAACATGACAGCGTCACACACCATAACGTCGAGTTTGTCATAAACATGACGACTGAAGCGGAGTTCGCTGCGGCTCTTTCCTCTGGTCTAAATGACTTGGACACGTCTTTAAAACCACAACAAGTAGAAGCGCTAAAAGCCTTTCCTCTAAAGAAAGATGTTTGTGCTGTCGCCAGACGCCACTTTTGACTACAGCAATAGAACTACAGCGTTGTGGACGTCACACACAGCGGCGCTCAGTTTCTCATAAACAAAGGACAGCGGTGGAGTTTGCTGCGGCTCTTTCCCCCGTTCTAAATGACCTGAATGTCTTTAAAACCACAACAAGTATAAGTGCTAATTTCTTCTAAAAATAAAAGATGTTTGCACCGTTGCCAGACACCTTTTTTTTTTACTACAGCTAAAAAACTACAGCGTCACGCGGTACAGTCGACATTTCCGTCTTTTTTCTGATTGGTTATTTTTGAGCTGCTTAGTCCCGCCCCTCATGTGCCTCTCTGCCTGTGAGTTACCAGACTCTCTCTCTCTGTGCAGGCTGTTCTGGTTTAATGATTAATTATTCCAGTGGTTACAAAGCGAAATGTTAACACGTAACTAGGGGGAGTTTACAACAGGGACCATCTTGGTCCAGCTTGCTAGCATGTTTACATGTTTGTTTGTTTTTTATTTAGCACAATAATTAACATTCATCTGGATTTTCGAAGCTTCGGGTTGTTTGAGATGTTTTGTTTGAACAGAAATTCATCATTCTCTGTTCTTTTCATTAACTAACAATAAATATACAAATTTCTTCTCTCTGTGCGCAGTAAGCAGTTAGCCCACCAGTCCTTACTTTCCACTTGACATTCAATAACTGAAACAGTAAGGCAAAACATTACAATCCAGCATTTTCGTTGTGTTGCTGGCATCAGTGCAACCACAGCAGACTTTGTGACTGTGAACTCAAGTGACCCTGGTGGCATTGTCCAAACCCAAATTCTTGTTGCACCCTCATCAGGGCCTCAAGGTTTTCCACTGCAGGTCTAAAAAACACTTAAGATGCTGCTATAATAAAATCCTCTAAGCTCCCATTCTGTTGGTGACCACACACACATATTTCAGCATTCTTAGAGTCAGCTGTACATAAGTGTACACACTACCATGGACGTAATTTGGGGGGGGGGGGGGGGGGGGACATGCCCCCCCCACCCCCACCCCACCCACACATACTTTTTCCAAAGTCAAGTTTTGACCCCTGCACTTTTTTACCATACAAAAACAATATTACGCTATATTAAATTGACACTGGTTGATCTCTAGGACCAAGCAGAAAACAACCGTTTGTGTTGAAGTCTGTTTCCCATTAGAACATACTGTAAAGATACCCCCCCCCCCCCCCCCCGTGCCCCCCCCTACTTCTAAAGTGAAAATTACGTTCATGCACACTACTGCTGTGAATGGGTTTAAAACACAATTTGAGACGCCTACCAGGAAACCAGAGGTACTGTCCAATAGACATCGCACCCTGGCTACGAAGCATCTGTTGAGAAAGCAGGAGAGCTCAGGAGGAATTCCTCCTGCCTCTGGAGAGTTGAACACACTGTTCACCACAAAGTCCTCACCTGCAGCAAAACATGAAATAGAAATATATTTTGAGGACACAAAATGAGAAAATTTAAAATTTGCTGGCAGAACAGAGAACCCCAACATGCGTCATGAAGATATTAAAATAATCTAATCTTGTCTAAATAAACTTTCATTTGGCAGTCTCACATTGCAGAAGCGGTTCTGTAAAAATACTAAACTGTAGTATAATTATTAGCAAAAATATACAGCGTTGTGATTTATTTATGAAAAAGATAGTGTTTGTCACTTAGTCCCGTAAACAATGGGAGGATTTTCTTGTTTACAGTATAATAACAATATTTTACAAGCTATTTATAAGCTAACTGTCAGGTAAACATTCAACAAGCAGTAATACAACAACTTCCAGAGGTAGCGCATCTCCAGGTTAAGAGCTCGTGACATAGTAATTGGTCAATGCATTTCCCCAAAGTAGCACACATCCATATATGTATAGACCTAAAGGGCCTGCACTTGTATAGCGCCTTTAAGAGTCTGAGGACTCCAAAGCGCTTTCCACTACAGTGTATCATTCACCCATTCACACAAGCATTCACACGCTATGAGCTACGATGTAGCCACAGCTGCCCTGGCGACAAAGGCAAGGCTGTTGAGCACGGGAGCCACTGGTCCTTCTGACCACCACCAACAGGCAAGATGGGTTAAGTGTCTTGCCCAAGGACGCAAGAGCAGCATTCCCTGTCCGGAGCCGGGATCAAACATGCAGCCTTTCAATTACTGGCCAGCCCCACGGCTGCCCCACCGTGGTGTGTGTAGCTACCAGGAGGTGTGATGGAAAATAATTGGGAGCCACTACATTACAACCACCTTGCAGCCGCTATAAAAAACCTTTTTCACACTTCTGTTCTGTTTTCATCAGGGAGCGACAAAACAACACTTTCTCACACCCGAAGAGTCGAAAACTGAAGCTGGATGATCACACATCTGTCGAGAGGCGACGCGCTGTGCCAGAGCGTTGTTTTCCGACCGCCGCGGGAAAACTGAGATTTCACCAAATTCTGACCTTTATCCTCTTGCTTTTTAACCTTCCCCTCACCCCCCCATCCTATCCTTAACCTTCTGGCGCATGCAAAACTTTGTTTCTGGTTGTAACGTCCCTCTCAAACACGGTTAACGGGAAGTTTAGAATGAGAAACAGGGTTAAGGTTAGGATGGGGGTGAGGTTAAATAACAAGAGGTTAGAGGTTAAATGTCAGTGAAATGTACATTTTACCGCAGGTGCTCTGGCGCAGCGCGTCGCCTCCCGACGCATTGGGACTCCCAAAGCGTTGGAAACAAACGCTTCGTCACCCAGCGTCGTTTCTCGATGCTTCGGGGGTGAGAATGTGTTGGACGACAGCAGGAGACAAATATTTCTGTAGGCTGAGTTGCTAAAATATCACTAAAACTATGGAACTTTTGAAATATGCCTGAGTGTGTGTTAAACTAAATGATCCATGTCTTTAGTAGCAATCATTTCTGACTGTGGGCTATGTGTCTAGAGGAAGAAAACAACCCATTATCCATTTTTCTATCAGCTATTTAATGGTTTTTGTGGAATCCACATGTCTCCTATAGCCTTGCAAGCCATCCTTTACATGTGTTAATACACAGTTTGGCCATGACCCATAGACAGAACTCAGTTGCTGGTGTAGAATCTACGCTTGTCTTTCAAACTGACTCCATACATATTTGGGCAGTGTTAGAACCAATCAGAGAGACAAACAACTTGACATGACGGCAATCAGTCATCAGGCAGTCCGCTATACACCATCGAAGAAGATGAAAAAGCATATGCATCCTTTTTTGAATTACAAAGGAATTAGGGTACCTCTATCTGCTCATGTCTCAAAGAAAAATCCAAGTCTAAATCATCCAAAGTTGATGCCAAAGAGCTCTATTCCTAAGCCGAGGCCATCTTTGTAGTTTTGCTTTGTCGCAGCTCGGGTGCTAAGCCCGCCCAATGTCTCTCTAAAAAGACAGTGCTGTGACTGGCCAGACTTAAAACTGTTCGACCCAACGGTAGACCTGCTGAGGTTACAGGCTAGACCAGGGGTGTCAAACTCATTTTAGCTCAGTGGCCACATTGAGGGAAATCTAGTCCCAAGTGGGTCCTACCGGTAAATTAAAAAAAACTTCAGATTGTTTTCTTTGTTTTAATACAATCAATATAAAACAAGGCTGGAGCCTGAGGACAGTGTATCCAAAATAGTACAATTACAACACCTGAAGTGTACTTGAAAATTTGAAACAAAAGAAAAAAAATCAACAAATAAAAAAAAACATTCCTTAGTGATTCAGAGCTTACAGATCACACGACAAGATCAGTTCCATGCAGCACTTAAAGTATATTTGACTCATTTTACTTTACATCTTTTAGCTTTCACCAGCACATCAATATCAGAAGTCACATCCTGAGTGGCGGCCAACTTCAGGATGTGATTCAAGTTCTTGTGTGAGCCTTGAGCGCAGCTTTGTTTTATTTATACTCATTACAGAGAAAACTTGCTCACAAAGATAAGTTTATTTTCACTCTACATTGTAAAGTATGAAAATAAAGTTTACACAACCATCTCGCGGGCCGGATTTAACCCGCTTGCGGGCCGGATCTGGCCCGCGGGCCGCAAATTTGACACCCCTGGGCTAAACCAACCTGCAGAGCAAAACCTTTTGCTACTGCTGTGGTCGGTCTACGTCAGAGGTTTTCAACATTTTTTAACGAGGACCCCCTTTCCTGTGTCCAAGACAAGCCAGAGCCCCCCAACTCCTCTGTCCATGCACACAATTAAAAGTGAATAATTACAAACCTTATGCACACATAGAGTTATGCCTCTAACACAGAGTTCTGATTGTAGTACTGGGTGTGTTATCGGGATTTTTCATGCAAGTTTTACTAATATAATCTTGGTAACCTCACTGTCTCAGCACACACAAAATCACGAGGACCCCCTGCAACCTTTTGGGCACCCTCTTAGGGGGGTCATGAACAAAGACTGGGAACCACTGCTCTACATCACCAAACTACATGTCCCCTACATGCTTCATCCATTTGTCACGAAGCTACTCACTGGTTCCTGCAGTAATCTGATTGTCCTGTTGACCAGATGTCCCCTGGTATTGTGGAGGACACATGGACCAGTGAAGCTGGCGTCTGAACTCCTGACGGTCGTCTATGTGGATGTAGTCAAAGATGTTTTGGTGCATCACGTCAGTCTGTGGAGAAAAGGTAGAAGAACGGAGGTGGTCCAGGCTGCAGTTTAGAAAGACACGATTTCCTTGATGCCTGATCAAACTACCAACATAAGCTCCTTACCAG